TAAAATTCTTTTAATCAGTATAACACTAAGAAGGGGATTGTAAAAAATCGGAGCAGAGGGTGGATAATTTAAATTTTTTTCAAAAAACGGCGTAAATATACTCTGATCTATATGGAGGTAGGTGTCATGGTGACAGCTAATAATAAAAAATAACTGTTGAGCTTAAAGAGCGAATAGTAAAAGTCATAAATACAAAATTTTGCATCATTTACTCACCCCCTTCCCTACTATCGGTACATTTCCAACGAAATACTAGAATCGGTGCGATACTCGATATCAGTTTAGGCCCCATAAAAGCAAGTGTTTTATTTTTTCAACTGTAATCAATTCCTTAAGTTTCATGAATTATTCACACGTGAAGGTAGTGGTCTGAAACTATCGTTGGCACTTTCGATTTTATCGATGGTTTTTGACGATCGTACCACCATACTATCGAAGTAGGGATGTTCAAATAAGATCGGTGTTCTAAAAACCGTTTTTTTTTTTTAATTTGGTTAATGATCTTTTTCAGTCTTTTTTTAATTTAGGTGTTAATTGTTTTTTTATTTTTATTTTAAACCGAAAACCGAAAATTCGGTATTTGCATTCCCCAAAAACAGATAATTGTTTTGTAAGTCTTACATAGGAATACAGTTTTACGGCGTACTTCAAATTGACTACTAATTTTTTTTTTCTGATCTGTTAGCTAAGCATATTGATTGCGAAGTCGATATTGAAATTTCGTACAAAGTTTGAAAATTTATTTTATATGTCGTTTGTTAAAACATAAGCCACAAATGTTAATAAAAAATTAACAAAAAAATATTTTCAATTACAAACATTGGAAATATTAAAAAAAAATCACCGTACATTCAATTTTGAAGTTAATATATAACCATATTTTATCTATAAATTTGAAAAGTTTTTGTTTGTGAAATGAAGTTTATATTTGTATAAATATGTCCAACGCTGAAAATGTTATATAAAATAAAGCAAAAATATTGTTTTAATTGATTTGCGTAGCGATTTTAGTATAACTCGGTTTTCTTTCGGTAAACCGAAAAGATCAGGTTTTTGATCCCGTTTTTTTTAAACGGTTTAAAACCTGGATAAAAAACCGTGATTACCGTGAAACGGTGCCCATCCCTAATCCATAGTTTTTAATAGTTTTTGTCTTTCTTACATTATTGTTTTATCGCTTATTGTCACTTGCGATAAAAGCACCCTTTAATAAAAGATATAAAGCACCTTTTAATAAAAAATATTTCGGCAGCGTACATTTACCAGCATTTTCCTGTTTCAGCGGGTGTTTTGATAAGAGAAAAATATGGATTGTGAATGAAGTAAAATAACTGATATTGAATAAGGTAAAATAACTGATATTGAATGAAGTAAATAGCTCTAAAAAAATTGAATTATTTTAATAAGCAACGACTCCTTCTGATTCATATGAAGTTTCGCTCTGCTTTAATCACGCAAAATATTTTAATAAAAGATTTGAGATATTCTTGAAAATGGTTATAAGAAGTTTTTTCATCCTGTAAAATTTCCAGGCGCAATATAAAGCCAAATTATAAATTTAAAACGCTATCGAAAACTATCGATAGTTATCGATGGTTTATAAAGAACTATGCCATACCATCAATAGTGTCGACTATCGATAGTTTCAGACCACTACGTGAAGGTACTATTTATATAGCATTCACTAGCAAATACCCGGCGTAGTAGTTTTTGAAGGCCCTGCGAAGGGTTGAAGATATTTCTAAATCAAAGATTTCTTAAATATGTGTTGTTGTTGGTTGATTTTTCCGACAGGGTGGTATGATGATTTGTTTTGGAACGAATTTCCGTCATCCCTTGTCAGTTTGGTTTGCAGACAAACCGGTTTCGGCGTTGTGCCGGTTGGTTTGTCTGCAAACCAAACTTGACAAAGAATAACGGAAATTTGTTCCAAAATGTAAATCATTTCTTAAATACTCTCTTTTGCTACAGATATTGTAATATATAGCTTATCTTGTCAATTTAACTGAATAAAATTTTTCAAATAGGTGAAAACCTGCTCCAAAAATATTTTAACCAGTAAACTTTCTTACACCTCTGTTATTTTATACAAAAAGCCATTTATTTTATCAATTTAAGATAATACAATTTTTCAACCAGGTGGCAAGTCGCTTCAAAAATGGTTTCGGAAGTAAGCTGTCCTTAACCTTTTTATATTGATATATTTGGTGCCGTTTTCTCATGTAGGTTTTAAAATTCATTTGCCATGCAAACACATTTTAAATTCCAAAACGTACAAGCGAAAACGGCTCCTAATTTATTTTATTAATTAAATTAAATTAAAATTTTCAAAGATGTGTCAACATTCCACAAAAGAATTTTCGGCAGTAAGCGCTCTTAAACCTCTTTCTTTTGACAACTATACTGCAATATTTACTTACTTTATCTCTATTTTGTTCTATGTATATTTTAAATTAGACCTCTAGCAATACATCAGTGTAAACTGTATTCAATTCCATGCATTAGTTTTTGAGTCATGTGTATACAAACATACAGCCAAAACTTCTGTTGTTCTAATAAATACCTGCATAATAATTTTTCTTTAATTCATATAATGTACAGACCCCGGCCAGTTACGATTTTATTATATGTATAGATCTCCATGTCAAGTTCCAGTGCTCTACCACAAATACTTCCAGAGATATACAGTATCGAAGAGTCCGTTTGCACGTGAGGTGCCACGCCCTTTCTCATATAACGTCCAATTTTCTCCTTGAGTATGAGATTGGTTTTATATATATATCTCCATACCAAGTTCCAGACCTCTACAATAAATACTTCCAGAGATATGCAATATGAAAAATTCCGCTGGCATGGAAGGTGCCACGCCCCATTATCTAATCGAGATTAAAGCTAACCTATATTTTAAGTTGGACTAAATAACAACAGTATGCAAAATTTCATGATGGTTGATTGGGTTGTTAAAGCGTGAAAGCGTAACAAACAAACAAACTCACTTTCGAATTTATAATATTAAGAAAGAAAGAAAGGATTTGGTGTATTTTTCTCTTTTTTATAAAAAAAAAATTACTTGAAATTGCACATGCTAACAATTATTAGTAAAAAAAAGTTAATATCGGTTCGTTAGGTCTTCAAATTAGGCGCATGTTTTAGAGAATTTCATGTTGCTTCCGAGCATGTGTATAATTGAATCATTTCGAAACACTGTGCACCGTACAGTAAAGGTTAAAATTTAATACGAATTCATAATATAGAATATTTTTACTGTCTTAAAATACTCAAATTACCAAACAGAGGATAGAGATTAATATATCAGTTTTAAAACAAAAATGTCGAAAGCATAATAATGGCAATTTTCCATACAAGGGAGTAGGAAACTGTATTAAAGAGGTCTGCGAAAAAAATTATTTTAGTTCCTTTGTCTTTGGATTGAAACAATAATAGATTTCCAACCAAAAAGGTATATTTTGCGCTGGTAATGTAATGTACACATTGCAATATAAATTCTATGGGCACAATCGAAACAAGGGACACCGCGTACTTTTGTATCCCCTATGATGGTTTCTAACCCTGACGGCGTAAGATCTTATCAGCCTCCCTAATAAAAGCTAAACGTTTTTTTGGTAGCTTAACTCCTAACCTTCAGGGCATCGACTGTGAAAGAACTGAACGTGCAAGTGAGGAGGCAGGTTATTGTGGCCTGTTAGGGAACCAATAAGCAACTTGATGGTGGCTCTATTCAAGAGATGTATAGCTCTTTTAGCTAATGGATAACCAAAAGGTCTGACCCGTATGGGGACCCCTATCTCGCTCCTGTACTTAATGCATTCTGAGTTTACCCACACTTCGAGTACGAGCCTCAAGGAGGGCCAACTGAATCCACAAAACGGTTCCGGCCCCACAAGTACAGCAGATGAGCCTTCCCAGTGTCCAGGTACACAGCACTGCGCTGGTAACTAAAAACAAAATTTTTCGTTTCTGTTTTCGGGCCCCTGATTCCTTAATTAGTTGACCGTAGCTGTACGTACATATTTATATACCACGTCGAAAGAAAGAGAGACCCACCGAGCGATCGCCTCAACGTCGCGCCATGCACATATCATAGCAGCGTAGTCTGCGTCGGCGGCAAAGCCAGCAGCGACTGCGCGATAGAGTTTTAGGGATAGGAGAACTTTGGCAGAATAGCAGTGTAGCCGAAATCAGTTGATAGCGACACTCTGCGTGCGGCAAAAGTATTCAGTTTTATGAGCGGGCGAATATAGTATTGAGATTTATTTTTATTTTTGAAACATACAATATAATGGTAATTAACCAAAGTGTGAATATGTAGAAGAAAAAAGAACAACAAAGTTGAAAATTGTTAAATATAAGAAATTGTATTGAATGCGTGCTTTTTAGAAATGCATATTAATTAGATTGAGTGAAAGATTTTCAAGATAATCTAAAGATAGTACATATTTTCCTAAATTACGATGCACCAAACGTGTATTTTTACGTAATTTCCAAAATAGTGTGGACTTTTGTTTAAAAATATTGCAATAGAAAAACAAAATAGTTGGGAAAAAACTTGAAAATAATATTGTGGAAAAATATTAAATTGTGATGTGTACAGTGCGTGTAAATGAAATTATTGAAAGCAATTAAAACGTACAAAAAGTAGTATTTTGTAACGTGTTGGCGGTTCAATGATAATTTTTGTAGCACTCAAAAACCTACATGCATTGCAGTTCTAAAATACATACAAACAAACATATGCACATATTTACAAACATATGTATGTACATATATATTTGCATTAACTTATCCGACCAGCAATAAAATCATATAGACAGCGTCAACAGCAATCGAAAAAATCAAACGATCACTTCGTATCTGCCTACATACAAACAAATAAACAGATAACGATACATACAAAGTTGCCACCACAGCTCACTTGCATATGTGCACACGTTTTTAACGCCGGCAAACTAAAACAAGATAGGGAGCCAGCCCGTCAGCCAGTCAGCCAGTCAGCCATTCAGTTAAGCCGACAGTCCGATAGTCACTCAGCTAGTCAACCACGCAGCGTGCATACGCAGCAGGTACCTACGTACGTTGTGTGCCGTAAATAAGATTCGTCGCATCTACCTACTTCTCCTACCTACTGGCACTATTGGAGCGCCCAAAAACAAACTGATCGCAGCAAAAAATAAAAATCATCTGCAGCAACCACAACAACAATAAGAACAAGCAAGTGTAAGATATACATACATATGTAGCAACAATTGAAGTCGCACAATTCATTCAGCCTGAGCTGATATCTGATCGGCTGCGAATACATGCATATGTATGTAGATAGACCCATACACACAAGCATAGTTTAGTGCTCGGAGAGTTAAGAGCGTGATCCTGCAAAAAGTGAAACTCGGAGCAAAAGTGAAAAAAGGAACACTTTGAAAACTGGACTTGAGTTTGTGGTAAACGAATTGAAAATAAATGAGCAAAAAAATACGATATGTATGTATGTACATAGGTGTTGAAAGCAGATATTAAAAAATTATAAAATCTCTCAAAAGTTTGCTAGTGGAATAAGAATGAAAAATTTGGAGCACTTGCAAAGTACCTAACTTCGCAAAATATGTACACATAAAGGCAAATAAATAGTTACTAACTTAAAAATAGTTCTCAAGATCTCCGACCTAAACCAAAAAAAATAAAAAATTAATAAATAAATACAAAATCGATGCAAATCCAAATTCAAACATAACTGCAATTTTGAATTACGCCTTATTTTATTTCAAATTTAAATTTAATCGATTGACGTAAATATTACAACTAGAAATTGCTGATTGGAAGACGCTTATAAATTAGGAATCACTAAAATAGTTTTTCATTGAAAGAAAGAGAGAGAGAAATTTAAGTGAAAAGTATAAAATACAAAAAATTAAATTTAAGTAAAATCTATATTTGTTCTGTGAGAGTTTAGAAGCTGGCAAAATTAATTTAGAAGCTTAACTAAACATTTTATATAGATTACAAAAAAACCATTCCGGTGAAAAGTTAGTCTTTGTAAATTTTACGCACACGAAAATTGTGAACTTTGTGATTGTGCTACATCGATTGTGCTCAGTGATTGCCAAAGGTAAAAAAAAAATTGGGCAAGTTGAATTCACATAAAAATATGAAATAAAAACTTATCTCGAAATCCAGTGCTTACAAAATCTTCTGAAAATATTTCAGCAAAAGCGGAATAATATTTTTATACCACAAAATTTTTGTAACCGTCAAAATACCTATCGTCAAGACCGCGGTACATCAACTACCCACAACTCGGAACCTGTCGCACTTCAGCTTCAATCGTCACCAATTTGCTGCCTTGGTTTTTGCGACACTCGCAGCTGAGCTTATCTGGCGGTTTAGTCAGCTAGATGTAAGTCTTAAATTTTACTTTAGTACTAAGAAAATTTCTAATTAAAAGTTTACTTGAAAAGACCCTTGGAGTCACAAAAAAAAAATCTTTACATAGTATAAATTAAAGTCTAGATTCTTTGTACGCGGTAATCTCGAAAACTATTGAACGGATTTTGACGAGATTTTCTCCATTATACTTGGTCTCGATAGGAGAGTAACTTTTTTCATTTAGAGTTTTAATAGGGTTGCAACCTGTCTAAAAACCCGTTCGTTGAATTACAAAAGTTGAGGTGGGTGTCCAATGAAAGGGACGAGCCTCTACAAAAGCACAAATGTTTGATTTTTTTGAATATGGTTGCCACCTGTTGATAAAATTACTATATACAATCATAATAAGAGTAGGCACCAGTTCTGCACCGTCACAGTCAAACGTATAGACTTGGCTTCTAGATATGCAATAATGGATAATGTTTTTGAGCAGGGTTGCCACCTAATAAATAGTAAAAAGATGTTCACTGTTCGTTGGATTACAAACTGAGATATCAGATAAAAGGGCATGGCCTTCGCATGTACAAAAACTTAAATTTTTTTTGAGTAGGGTTGTCACTTATTTAAAAATTACGATCTTCTATACATAGTCTAAAAGAAAGTTGAGATTCTTTGAATACACTCATTTCAAAAACTACTGAATGGATTTAGACGAGATTTTTTAAGTACAATCTGTATCGATAGGAATATTGTCTTTAGTACTTTAAATTCCTATAGGGTTGCCACCTGTCTAAAATATTATAAGATCCGCGCTGTTCGTTGGATTACAAGAAATGATGTGTCAGGTAAAAGGGCTCGGCATTTAGATGTTCAATAGTGCATTACTTTTCGAGTAGGGTTGCCACTTTTTAAAAATTATAAGATCTTCACCGTTTGTTGAACTAATAACTGAAGTACGAAGTGAAAGGATATGGTCTCTGCAAGTGAAATAAGTTTTTATTTTTTATTTTAGTGGGGTTGCCACCTATTTAAAAATTATGTATGTGTAATATGCGAAGGCATTTTCTGTTAATGACTTTGGTTCACACAGTTCATCCAATTAAAAAAATTTAAGTGTCAAATGAAAAGCCTTGGCCTCCAGCTGCGCAATTATATATTATTTTTTTTTTAGTAGGGTTGGAACCTGTTTAGTTGTCAATCACACCTTATTTAATATCTACACATTCAGCGCGTGGTCAAGCCTCACGGATACGAGCCCGGCTAGTACTATGTATTAGGTGATACATAGTCAGGGCTATCACTAAATCCGTCGTAGCCCGAATTTTCCTGAAACCTACGAACGAAACATACACTTTGAATGCATACGGTTGTAGCTATTCGGATTCAGTGATCGAATTTCCGTAGATTTCACGAAAACCGGACTACGATGGTTTCAGCAATAGTCCAGAGTATGTATGTTTATTAGATCGTATTACAAAAAGGTTAACTATGTTCCAAGTAATTTTGAACACTCGCTATGAGGGTAAACAATTTTTTCTGCTCCCTGTAAAAAGGCAAATCGAGTTTTTCCTTTAACATCTTTATTTGATATCCGATTTATATAAATAACATATCGTTGTAAACACTTATAATCTTTTTTTCTGAACACGGCAACTTGTAATCAAAAGCAAGAAGCTCAAAAATACACTCCCATGCATTGGCTATATATTTGCTAAGCTTAATAGTCAAGCACGATACAGCCAACTTGAATCCCGAAAAGCTTTACTTCGATTAAATATTTACTTGTTATTATTATCATACATGTGACTTCTTACACAATTACTATTAGTTAGCTATCATTTAATGCAAAAGGGTTAGTATTTTTCTTGGCAAAGTGTTGTAATTTGCGATTGTTTTTCTGACACATAATATTGTGTACAGGGTGTCGTTCTCAGGGTAATGAACATAACTTGTAAAGTTTATGAGAGATGATAATATTTATGTATGTATGTATATTAGGGTGGTCCTTAGATGTAGGAAGTAAATTTTTGGATCAGATTTCCTAAACCTCAACCCCTAAGTCGATGCTTAGTCGAAGACCACACATATAACTTTTGATCCGGATTGGAGTCGGTTAAGGCATGTCGCACAGGGGCCAAAGTTTGGACTACCCTATGAAGACGTCTTAATCGACTCCAATTGGAACCAAAATTTACAACTGATATCCTCGACTTTAGTAGTATCGATCTTGGGTATTAAATGAGAAAAAAATATTTTTATTTTTTGAGTCCGGCCTTTGATTTCATTGTGACATGCCTTAACCCGACTCCAATCGGGACCAAAATTTATAAGTGATATCTTCGACTACGGTAGTATCGATTTTGAGTATTAGGGTTATATTTTTTGAGTCTATAGCGGAATCTGTATTTTCCCCCCTGTGCGACACGCCTTAACCGTCTCCAATCGGGACCAAAATTTATATGTGATATCCGTGGCCGTGGTATTACCGATTGAGGGGTGAGACTGAAAAAAATCGTTCAATTGATTTTTAAGGACCACCCTAATGTATATACATATATGTATATGTAGGCTTTCTTAATATCTTTACAACGGCGTAGAGTGGCTCATAAAAACACTCTTTTTGTAAATTCATAAACGCTGCCTCAAATTATTTTTATTTGTGATAAAAAAAGAGAAATGTGTTTTTTTATTTTGAAAAAAAAAAGTTTTTTTAGAGGTCGCGCTGGTCGGTTTTTTATAAAAACGTTGATGTTCTCAATTTTTTTATTTTCTTGACATGTTAAAATTCAGCTAAAAATGTCGTTTTTACATATACTTGGTCTGGTATTATTGGTGAACATTCCCTTAATTACACACCTGTCTTGGACAGTTAGTATGGGCCTAGTTTCCGAAAATATTCTCTCGAAAAGACATTAGTAAAATTAAAACGTTGAAAGCGAACGATTTACGCGTTGTCATGGGTTGGAACTTGTTACCAGGGGGTTTCTGGGGTTGCTAATTAGGAATCTGAAGTCAGTTTTTCAAAATTCAAAAGGGCGGATCCAACATGGCGATCCATTTTTTAGAAAATGATTGGTTTTGTTCGAAACTCGGCACTCAAGAGTTTTTGGGAACGCCGATTACGAATCTGAAGTAAATTTTTTTAAACTCAAAATGGCGGATCCAATATTGCGATCAAATTAAAAAAATTACTAAAATTAAAACGTTGATACTGAACGTTTTAAACATTGTCAAGGGTTGAATCTCGTTTCCAGTGGGTTTCTCCAATCCAATCCAATCATTGTTTTAAAGCTGGTCGCCATTTTGGATCGCCCATTTTGAATTTTGAAAGTCTGACATCAGATTCATAAGCTCAGAACCCCATTGGAAATGAGTTTCAACCCCTGACAATGTTTAAAATATTTCAACCCCCTGAAAAAAATTGACTTCAGGTTCGTAATCGGTGACCATAAAAACTCTCGAGTGTCGGGTTTCGAACAAATCCAATCATTTTATAAAAAATGGATCGCAATTTTGGATCCGCCATTTTAGACAGTTAATGATTGTCCATTGTGTTACCACTAAAAAGGAAACAAAGCTTATCCTGGTAAAGCAGGTAATCAAACAAGTCTAGAAAAGCGCTGGTTGCTCGTTATGAAGTTCCGTAAGCAGCTAATGTCCACGCTAGAGAGTTCCTCTCAAGCACTCATGAAGTATGACCCGAGATGTTTAAACCTTTGCTTCGCAAAAGCAGGCAGTGAAGAAGGTAATGACAAGATGATTACGCCTCATCATCCTCCAGACTGCTACTTCACGGACCCACTGTGCACCAGTATTAAGAAGACTGCTTGAATTCCCGTTGGGCAGTGAACTGTCAGAACTCTCACAAAAATCGGCAGTTGTCGCCTAGTAAGCTGGAGAAGGTACCTAAACCGCCCATGGTCAACTATTGACCAAACGGACCTTGCAACTTTGCATATACAGGTTTTCGCTCAGTGTTCGCTGAGCCGACTAAAAAATCATTTGTCCAGAAGAAGTTCGCTGGTTTCCATAGGTACCCAAATTACCTTCCAGCCATTGGCGACGGCTTCTAGGATGCCTTCCCTGGCTAGTTCTTCGGCACAGCAGCTTTCTGCAATAACGCTGTGTCCCAGAACACAAGTCAGTGTGATGCGAAAATAATCCAAGGCACTAGAGAGAGAGAGAGAGAGAGAGAGGACAGGCAGTCCCAGACCAATTTTGACTTTACCGTCAGCTCTGATCCAGTGATGGAAAATAATTGTACCTAATTTGAGGAAATTATTGTACCTAAACGTAGACAATTGTACCTTAGAAATTTTTCCTTGGTATACACGTTTCGCATCTTGTAAAATCTGTTAAAAAAATAGTACGAAAAAATGAAGAGAATCTACCTTTTCAAAGACTTTTCTAATGTCGGGATCCAAAATTACACATTGAACTTTGTCTAAACAGTAAGCACCCTTTAAGTCCAAACTAAGCTTAAGATAAAGGAAATCCCTGTATGTCAATCCCTGAGTAAGCGGCTTGTAGATCTTTTGATTATGCTTATGATTCATTTAAACCCCCACGGCCTTGATAAAAGTCAGGCTCTTATGTCATAAAAAATTCTATATCAAGTGCTGAGGAGTCCATAAGCTGTTTATCCGAAGCTTTAGGCGTACGCAAATGGCATTTATATGGTTGGTCTTCGCACCAAAGCCCCCTACGGTAAACGAGAAATGTCAAATAACCTCTTAGCAACAGAGTACCCGCTTATTGGGCGAGGCAAAACAAAGGTATTTCGTAAGACAGTTGTCAATTCTGGAAACTATTTTGAAAGATCTGCTGACGAAGAGGTCTTAGCATTATGCTGTACGCCTTTGGGTATAAAAAATTTAAAAATGCATAAAGATTTATTTTTAAAATAATAATAACAAACAAAAAAGTGAAATAAATAAAAAATAATAATGATAAATAGTTTTTCTTTAATTAAATGAAATAAAAAAAAAAAACATATTTTTTTCTTTTTATAATAAAATCCAAGAATTAAAT